AACTTTCGTCAAATTGAGTCTATACGATCGCACTTGATTACCAGGGGGTTCATGCCAAACTATATGATATGGACTATGCATGGTGAGGTTAGTGTGAATGTTCTGCAGGAAAACAATGATGATGTGGACATGCCTGACGTAGCCATCCACGATGCTGACGAGGAACCCGGTGTCAATACGGAACCTATGGCCACAGTTAATAATGTGTTTAGGAACACGCTAGCTGACGACACCGAGGATAACGATGGCATTTCTCAGCTGCTACGTAATGTAGAGACTGAATGTCTTAGTGAAAGACAGCTGAGAAAGCTAGAGAAAATGAGACAAGATGGCAAAACACCATTGTATAGAAATTGTCCAATGAGTAAACTGGAAGCCGACATTATGACGTTAGAGTTCAAATCGATAAACGGATTGAGCGATAAAGGCTTCGATCAGTTGTTAGGTATAATAAGAAAAATGCTCCCAGAAAAAAAAATGAGTTGCCAGAAAAGACATACTTGGCCAAGCAAATGATCTGCCCCATCGGCCTCGAGGTTGAAAAAATCCACGCGTGTTCCAATGATTGCATATTATACCGTGGAGAAAAATACAAAGACTTGGACAAGTGCCCCAAGTGTGAAGCTCCATGGTACAAGGAAGGGCCGTCAGATGAGGGTACCAAGACCAGAGGAGGTCCCGTAAAGGTCGTTTGGTATTTCCCTATAGCTCCCCGAATTAATAGGCTGTTTGCATGTGCAAAGTCAGCCAAGCTGTTGCGCTGACATGGCGAAGAGCGCAAGAAATATACAATGATGAGGCACCCCGCCGATGGGCATGACTGGAGAACTATCAATACTATGTTCTATAAGGACATCGGTGGAGAGGTAAGGCACCTTTGGTTTGCTTTGAGCACAGATGGGATGAATCCTTTCAACCAGGTTAGAAGCAATCATAGCACATGGCCAGTGACGCTCTGTATATATAACCTTCCACCTTGGGTCTGTATGAAGTAGTCGTACATCCAGATGCCACTACCGATCCTAGGGCCAAGACAACCTAGGAATGACATCGATGTGTTTCTAGAACCAGTGATCGATGAACTAGTGGAGATGTTTAAAAAGGGCGTGTCAGATGTTTGGGACGAGTACAAAAAGGAACATGTCACGATCAAGGGAGTACTTATCGCTACAATCACCGACCTGCCAGGTCGAGGTTCGTTGTCCGGAGAGAAGATAAAAGGCTATACTGGATGTGTCGAGTGCTTGGACGACACCGATGCAGTAAATCTACCAAATAACTCAAAGATAGTTTATATGGGACACCGTAGGTTCCTACCTAAGGATCACCCTTACCGTAGTAACAGAAAAGATTTCAACGGTACTATTGAGAAACGCTTAGCTCCAAAATATTGAGACGGGCCTGTGATACTTCGAGAACTCAACAAACTAGAGGTTGTCCTTGGGAAGGGGGAGAGTAGCAACGCCTGATAGGAGCGTTTGGAAGAAAAAATCAGTTTTCTGGAAACTACCTTACTAGCCATTTCTGAGTGTACGCCACTGTCTTCGCCCACCCACGATGATCACTCACCATCTCCCAACAGAGATCACTCCCCTCCTCATCCCTTGCCATCACCCCCGAGAAGACAGAGGTCTCCTTCTATTCCTCCTCGTCCGACTCCATCTTCATTAGCCCCGAGAAAAGAGAAGACTCCTCCTCCTCCTCCTCCTCCATCTTCATGAGCCACAGGAAAACAGAATTCTCGTCATCATCCTCCTCCTCCACCTCAGCCCAAAACAAGATCAAAGGCATCCTCGCAGTTGCAGAAAAGGTCCTTGGATTCGGTCGCTAATGCTCCCAAAGTGGACCAACAAAAAAGAAAAAGGTCGTTCAGTGGCAGCGTTATAAACTTGATGGAAGGAAAATTTACAGCACACATCTCGAAGGAAGATTATATTAGTTTCTTCAATCTCTGTGCCTCACTGCATCTGTTTTTGTTGAAGTCCGAATTCGAAAGGCAAACATAGAATCTGTACGCTACAACAAGAGCCGATGAAATACACAATGAAAATTTAAGGAAGATGTAGAAGTTCGTCGAAGATAACTCCGAATTAACCATGGAAGAGGCCGCGAACATCTATTATGATATACAAAGGACGAGAACACTGGCAATGAAGTATGAAAAAGGCAATCTTTTGGTTCCCGATCACGAGTATAAAAATTTGACAACATATATGCGCCAGTTGCATGAATATTACATGGCTCAAACAACAGAGACGGAGGACTTTGGTTTTAAGGTTATTATCTATTCGCCACATGTTTTTAATTATCCTAAAGAAGAGAAGTTCGATATCGAGTGGGAGTGCTTGTTCCAGCTATACTAGAAACGCTCTCTCGATACACAAATGTTGACACTGTGGACTATGTAAGTACCCTATATGCACGATATTACAATTAACTACTCTCTTGGGACACAGATTGTTAACTTTTGAGCACTTTCCATGATTTTATGTAGGTGTATAGCAAAATTTTGCATTCTAAAAAGCAAATGGGATAACATAGACTTCTTGGACCCCTTGCGAGTCAATGAGAAGACATGTCTAGGCCTCCATGGATGTGACGTAAAAGACCTAAAACAGAAATTGATTGCGGTTTTCGACGAATTCAAGATGAAGAACAAAACCCATATAGTTCTAGCCTACAACTGTGAGTATGTGTTCTCGGCTTTTAATTTTATGCTTCTTTTTTCGTTAAGATTATCCGATAATTAGGATTCTGTGATTGCAGCCATCATTTCGTTTTCATTTGTGTTAATCTTGCCAAAAATCTGATCGAGGTGTGGGACTCGAAGAAAAAACCATTTCATCATCTGGATGCACGGGTGGCAGTGCTGAATTAGTAAGTGATCCTAATAATATATTATTTTCTAATCACACATACCGTTTTCTAACGTTTCTCCTTTTAATGTTGCTCAGTGTCCGAAGAAGACATATCGGTGGGACGCAGGTCCCATTCAAGGTTGTCGAAATGGAGGGGAAGTACCTAAAACAGCCGGCGGAAAACAATGAATGCGGGTTTTATGTAATGTGGGCAATACTTCGTGGGAAATCGGAAGAAGCCGATAAGTTGATGTGTATAATCCCCATTTCATTTGTGTCTGTTAATCATTCAACAAAATAATTTACTGATTCCTCTTCGGATATCATCTTTTTTGAACGACAGCGCAAGAAATATAACCATAAAAGGCTGTTAGACATGGAGATCGTCGCGCTGTAATCGGAGCTGGCAAAATTCATCTTAGCCGAGGTATTGGAAAGAGATGGAGTATTTTTCATTGCACAATCTGTGAAGTTCAAGGACCAGTATGGCCCAGAGCGGTTCGCCAGATTATTGTAAGAAGTTCGAGAAACATTGCACAATCTGTGAAGTCCGAGAACATTTTTTTTTATTTTGAGGGATCGAGATCTTGATGAGAACATTTGAACTGTAACCGTGACTTTGTAATGTTTAATATTGATGGACCTGTCATCTAAGTAGCGTATATAAAGCGAAACCCGATTCAACAAAAAAATATAAATTAAAATAAATTATAAAACAATAAAATACGAACGTGACATCACTGCCGGTTAGCAACAAACCGGCAGTGATGACACTGTTGGCTGGAGCCACAAACCGGCAACGTTGGCTTAGCCATCACTGCCGGTTCTTGTCACAAACCGGCAGTTATTCGTACGACAACACTGCCGGTTCAATACACAAACCGACAGTGTTGGTGGAAATGAACTCTACCAGGTGTTCTTATGAACCGGCAGTGTTGGTGGAACTGAACTCTGCCGGTTGTATAAAGAACCGGTAGTGAAGTTAAAGAACAGTGCCGGTTTGTAGAAACCGACAGTGATAGCTAACCCTCATCACTGCCGGTATGGTTGTGCTAGTTTAAAATCCGACAGTGATGGGGTATTTTGAACCGGCAGTGAAGTGTTATTTTGACGTAGTGGTTAGGCAACGTGCCCGGTCCTATCTTTCATTGTTGAGTCTTAATTATTCTCTCCATTCCAAAATATAAGCAGTTTGAGTTTTGTGTAACTTCTCTAACTTTAACCGATCTTATAGAAAAAATACACCAATATTAAAAACTCGTATACAACGACACCAGCTGGTTGCTCAAATGTAGAGCCCGGAGAAAATGCATCTCTTGGTTTGAAGAGTTCACTCTGAAGATCCTTCTCTTTACTACCGTGAAAAAAAATATTCAGGATTTCAGGATAGAACTATACTTGAATATGTTAACTATATATATAGATAAGATATAAGAGGAACACTCATAGTCATAGATGTCACTCTGGGGCAGGTATACACTATCTAGAAGCAATATACTAATATAGTCGTTTTTTCCTAACAGTGTATATATACAGAGTTCAGTCTCTTTCTGGAGAAACTAATCAGATCAACTTTCTTAACGATAATAATCACATTATAATATGCAGAGAAAATACTAGCCTCACAGATAAAAGCAAATTAAACAGAAGACCTTTGATCGATTTCGACGTCAAGTATCGCAGATTCAACTCATGTGTTATGTCAGCTAAGATACTAAAATTGGCAACTTGACATATATACAGGGTCAGGATTACCAACTGAAGAAAGCCACAAGCTCTCTATATATTTATCTTACTCGCATTAAATAATTACATCGATCAAAGGCATTTGACCAAAGGGTTTTTATCCATAATAACATGAAACCCAAGGTAGTAAATCAGCTAGCTTTGGTGGCAATTAGTCCTCCAAATTATCCACCAAGCAGCTCAAAGACACCCCAAAACCTTCATGCACATCATCCATGCATGCATTAAGCACCTTCATTCTACTACTGCTACAAAATGTGGATTTCTCCCCTCCACGCAGAAGCAAATGAAGAAGAAGATTCCAGAAAAGAAAAGAAAAGAAAGGAAAGAAACAAAAAACAGGCCGGTGCACCAGTAGTACGTGGCAGGGAGAAGAATCATGGAGCTTGGTGGTATCTAGTAGCCAAGGCAGTCGACGGCCATGGTGGCAGTGTCGAGGAACTGATGGAACGTGATCCCGGCGGCGGCGGCGGCATTAATGTGGCCGCACCCCACCTCGGCGTCGCAGCCGTCGTCGTCGCACGGCGGGTGGTTGAGGTCGAGCCACAGCCCGCCGTGCTTGACGCCACCGTGGCCGTGGTCGTGGTGGATGAAGCCGACGACGTCGCCGTCCGGCTTCTTGTCGACGACCATCCTCGTCGTCGTCGCCGGCGGCACCACCGGCATGATGGGCATGCCGCCGGTCATGGCGCGGTGGCGCCTCATGTGGCCGCCGAGGGCCTGGCCGATGGCGAACTCGAGGCCGCAGATGGAGCAGCCGTGCAACTTGGGCTTGGCGAGCGAGGGGTCGCCGTCCCCGTCTAGCCGTGGCTTCTTGTGGCTGGCGCGGTGGCCCCCCAGCGCCTGGAAAGACGGGAACACGCGGTTGCACGTCTTGCACACGAACACCCGCTCCGGCGCCTCCCGCTCGCCGTCGCGCCCGCCGGCGACGACGACCGGCAGTGGCAACGCCTGGTCCTGGGCGTGCGAGTGCGACATGAGCATCAGCACGCGCGCCATCTCGCTCTCCTGCACTGCAAACCTCTTCATCTAAAAAAATGCTTGCACTTGTCGATCAGCTCGTTCTTGCCGGTGAATCAGCTGAGCTACTCGATCTCGATTCGAAGCTATCAAGATATATATATATCTGAATGAAGATGAAGCAGATCACAGAGCAGGTGTATTTATAGGATGAGGATTGCAAATGCGAAGCATAAACCAATTGGCTATTAGCTAGGCTGAAAGAAAGGATTAAAATAAACAAATCACAAGTTGGCTTTCGAAGGAGACGAAGAAACAATTGGCTTTTGCTTAGTTTTATATGCCGATTCGCAGCTCTGACAGAAGATGAGCTGCTGCAGCTGCAGTAGCGACGATGATTGGGCACAGAGGCAAGTGTGTAGACGGCGTCGATTCTCTGCCCTGTTCGTTTGGCTGATATGACTGAAAATACTTTTGGCTGATTTATTGTGAGAGAAAAATATTGTTTGCTGGCTAAAAATGTAGGGCTTATAAGCCAAGCGAACAGGGTGCTCGCCGAGTCGACGCCGTGCTTTGCAAGCTTTGATGCAGCGGCAGCATGGCTGATGAATACGTAATGTTTGTGTATATAGTAATTACAGATTTATTTACAGGGGTAAACCAAAACAGCTTGGCGCTTGTGCTTAAAGCCTTAAACTGTTCATAAAAAAAAACAAGAAGATAATGCATGTGTGTGTGGGTAAATATAATTCAGTTGGAGAGGCGGAACGGAATCTTCGGCTGAGGGATCAGAGCAGGACTGTTACTGACTCAGCTTGTAGATTCCGTCCGGTCAATGGCTTCGTCTCTGGAAACCTGTCCTGTTCTTGTACAAACTAATCCTCTGAAATCTTTTGGACAAGATACTCTGATCGAAGGATCTCTCTTTCTATGTTCTATAACCAATAGCTTTCATATTTAGTCTAAATCACCATTCAAAAATGCTAGAAATCAATCTAGTACAAGAGAAGTTGGTTCATACTTTATACCAGATACATACAAGGCAACTAAGTATCAACAAGAAAGTTTCAATTCACATTTCAGACAGTAGAAACAGTGATGAGATGGTTATTTTCTTCTGAAGGTAGTGTTCTTAAGCCAGGGTTGGGACATCCAACACTTCTAGAAGCCTAGACTGCCGAACTGCTGAAACTGAACTTAGAGCCCTTGCTTGATCTCAGTCCAAATCTCAGAAAAGTGGCATGGATCTTTATGCCAACTAGGTTTTTTATCACTTACAATAACCCTGCAGACATCCTCTGTCAGTTCAGGTTTTTTAAGACAACTAGGCCAATAGGCCAAGAGAAAACACAAAAAGATTGCATCGCCATGCTTACAAAGGCACATATGTATCTGTGTATACATATATTTATCCAGCTTGATCAATGACGAGATTGCTAAGCGTCTCATCGCTGCTCCAAATGACGCATTAATAAATAGTGACTTGCATCTGGTCGCTTGATCCCCTTTATTATGAGTTCTGACCTCATAACGCTGCTGCTGCTGGTACTAGACTACTAGTACTGGTGTACTACTACTACGACTGCTGTTGTGTAACAAGTATCAGAAAGAAATATGTCTCTTCCGATTTGCACCTACTTGATACTTCATCGTCTGAATGGCCACATAAACAACCATCTGAGTAGTGGGATCTGAGGCCAAAATCAAACGGAGCAGGTTCGCGACGATGATTAGTTCTTGCATTGGTTGTGTGCCGATGTCGCATTGCTTGATTGGACTGAGCACATCAATTATTGCCTGTTTGATGTAAGCAGAAAGGAACTTGGGTCTAGTTTATATATAGTTCACTTCTGCTTGTTGCAACTTGCAAACGTGAAAGCATAAAAAGGTATCATATGGTGGTGCTAAAGCAGATGCATTTGTTGATGTTCAATGCATGGATTAGGATCTACTAGAGTTTATGGCGTCTCCAACTGCGCCACACGGTGGCAGTGTTTGATGGGGATGAAATGGAATCTTCCTCCTATTCACATTTCAGAAAGAAGATATTAAACCAACCTTTTTATCAGTTGTATCACACTGCAGTTCAACCAATATAGGAAGTACAGTACTGAAGATCCCATCAGTACAGAAAGGAAAATAAAATTCATCGGGTCAAGTTTTTATCAGTTAAGTCAGTAAGTAGTAGATATATGACCATGCATAACTTTTTGCCGCATCTCACAGTTCTCATCATGGTAGCAGCACATTCAAGGATCAAAAAAATTTGCGAAGGACAGTTGGCAAGATGGTCCCTTGTGCTGCCTGAAGAAACATAACCCCCTCACCAGTTCACAACGATTCTTCTCTCAACTCAATATAAAACTGGATGTCTTCATTTCCGCAAGTTGTTGTAATAGATTCAGAAAACCTCGATGCCCACACATTGAGCGTGGCATGATGTTCATCTCAGCAGCGACAGATGCTACATTATTCTTTAGCGGTCGCTGATGATTGGTGCTCAAGAGTTCTACTTGCCCCTGCAACTTCACCTCATTAGCCTAGACCTGCTCATGATGAACTTACAACAGGAGACAGGCCATGGACACTGCATGGATAAAAGTGCCTTTTTTCCCCCTGTCCCTCTCAATCTGAGCTTGCATCTTGAATTGCGCCTGCCGTTCTCCGCATATAAGAGATATATAAGAGACCAAAAGAAGAATTTTGCTTCGTGATTTGCTTCATGATTCCGCAAGCGCCGCATCAGAAACCCAGGATCCATCTGTTTGTCAAACCTATGAGGGAATTATTTACACCGGCTCGGCTCGGCCTTCGGTGGTAGTTACCTATGAGAGAAAAATCAATGCATACTGCATCCATTAAGTCAACGAGTATAATTTCTGACAGAAAAGAAGGCAAAAAAGATAGAAATGACATGTTCTCTTAAAAAACCGACACGTAGTTGTCCTGCGTGTTCGAGAGAAAAACAAAGCTGGTGAAAAGAATGGAAGCTTGAGCTGTTTCTGTTTTCTGCATCTTCCTTCTCTGAATATTTTTTGTGGCAATGCAGTGTGCCGACCACTGTGTGCAGAAGAATCCTTCAACGAGCAGCACTACTTCAGCTAGCTACTGCTGATTCAAAAGGCTGATTGTATATTATATAATCTAATATGATACTATGCGTGTTTCGTCATGGTCTTCAAAGTGCAATTTCAGACTGCGAAAGGCCAGAATATTCCTTGGGGATCAAGGGGCAGATTAGCATCCCCGGCTATTTAAGGCTATCTCCAACAACAACACCCAAAATACAAGATCCATTTGTCCTTTGGGTAGCGCTACAGGCAAAAAATTCAATACATATTCGGCATCTTCTCCAACAACCAGAGACAAAAAAGAATCATTTCTGCAAATAGGTTTCCAGGAGAAAGGATGTCCATATTTGGGTTATGCCTCTCAGGCAACCCAAAATAGGTCTCCCGTATAAGTACTATGTTGGAGGCTGATTTTAGGTCTCTTACTACCCATTTTAGGTTTGGATGTCCATATAGGTTTCTTGTTGGAGACAGTCTAAGAACCAGCATGCTGATTTTTTTCTGAAGAAACGAGGAAGAATCAGGACCTGCGTGCAGTCTCAAATTAGGTACTGACATCTGATTTTCTGAAGATATAAGTTGTAAGAATCGATCAGAAAACAATGACCATGAGAGTCCAGTGTTTTCTTTAGGCCCTGAAGAAGATGCTGGTTTCGATTCAGTTTGTTCGCCATGTTCTGCCACTTCTCTCATTCATGCGGTGCTTGCGCGGTTACAGGCCGCGCCAAACAGAAAATTAAGTGTGGACTTCAAAATCAAGTGTGAGTTGTATAGTATATGCTACGAGGTGATGCTGCTCTGATGGTGCTACCCATCAACAGCAAATCTTTATCCATTGAGAAATATCTGTTCACTACTACTCCATGAGATAAGTGGTAGAACATGGCGGGTTTTCTTTGTTTGTGACCTCCCTTAACGTTGTTGAAAAAAGCTAGTCCATGAGAAACGTAATGGAGATGAAGTGATGAACTAACAAAGGACTTTCAGCAGAGACAGCAGTAGGCCATATGGCGGGTTTTCTTTGTTTGTAACCTCCCTTAACGACGACTTACTCTTTCATTTCATGCACAGTGGAACAGTATCTTCATACAGTGGCATGGACAAAAGAGAAACAATTGTGGCATGATGAATATTGTGGTGTGATGAACTGCCAATTTGGTGTTCTTTCATGAATTGCCAATTGCTCTCCCACGCATGTCAAAGGAGAGGTGAGCTAAGAAAACCTTCTGCTGCCGCTTTTCAGAGGGAGTCGAGTCGCTGTCAGGTGACAGAACACAAACGAGTTTCTGCGTTCAAGGCTGGAGATCCACTGTCCCTGCCTCTTCTAGCTGCTGCTTCTTCTTGTTGGGTTGCGTGTTGCGTCCCTCTGCACGCACCCAGCTTGTCCCAACCAAATATTGTATGGTTTTGGTCGGCGTCTCCACGTAGGTCTCCACTGTGACGATGCAGACTGCTCTGTTTTTCTGAACGGATCTTTCCGCGGATTGAATTGAAGTAGTATCCACTATGAATATGCAGCAGGCAGGGCAAGGGATCCCGTTTGGCCAAGTGCAGTGACACTTGATCTCTAATCTCAAACTGGACTAGTTGGGCTTTTATCTACGCCCTGATTGGGGACGTACTGCCCACTATGGCTAGAGGGCCCCTGTCATAGTGCGCAATATATAGAGGTGGGGGCCGGCGGCTCTGAGTATGAGGTTCGCCTGAGCCGAGCTCCCCACCGAAACCTAAACCCTAATCCCGATCAGAGAGGGGCGCAGCCAGTGACGGGAAGCCACCAGCCGCGCCGCCTCGCTCCACCGACGTCGACGACTTCATTGACCTCTTCCCCGAACGTCGCTGCCCGTGCGCAGACTTCATCGACGAACGAGATGACGGCTTCTGGACCATCTCCCTCCGCGGTGTCAGGTTCGACACGTTCTTCTCCCTTCCCTCTCTGTCTCTCTAGTTCTATATGTATTAGGATGC